CTAAATAATGAAGTTCTTACAAACCAAGGTCTAGTCATTACTTAGTCCTTACATCACTTGTTCAAATATTAACAAACCAAAGTATCTGATCAACACCGATGAACACACCCAATTACCCTTAGTCTGGCCCTTTCACCTCACAGCTTAGTCATCTCTTTGACCTCGAAAAATGAGGAACATCCCCTATTGTGTAGCCGAGCACATTACTTATGTAGATTAATGAATGAATTAGTGCAACCTCTCTTGGCTCAAAGGAACGAGCACACCGTCTACAATAGAATGAACAAGCTGGAGGCACTACAAATAGGCTATCACCTATAGGAAAATTCACGTAACCCTGCAATCCTTCTATCGTGGTCCTTGAACATGCATAGTACCAGCGCTACCCGAGTTTCTTGGCCATTTGAGTTAGAATTGCTTGGAGGCTACACGCATTGTAGGTCAAATCATGAAAATGAACCTGCAAGTGGTGTCATTCAATAAATAAAATGCTAGCAATGTTGAATGGAAAAATAATATATATACACATGTGAGCACCACTCCCACTATACCACATATGCGTTGTTATCCCTAGCAGCCAGCTCACTAACTGATGCCACATCTGCAAAGCCTTGGTCTAAAGCTAAAGTTTGAAAGAATGAGAATTCATGAATTATGTATCCATTGATGCTGAACTCATTCAAACACTGTCACATAGCATTTCTCTCAACAGTTATTGCATTTAGCGCCACCCTTCCCCAGACGCTAATTTCTAAGACCTCTTGAGGCCCATCCCATTTGATGGAATGTTGAAAGATACATGACAATGAAATCTCTCTCCAGGTCCGGCGGTGACAGTCTGATGGTTAATGTAATGAACGCCAAGAACCAAAGTGTATCTTCGAGCCATCTAATCGGCTCAACCATCAACGTTAAATTGCAAAAATGTGTTAGGATGAAATAAAATTAATATACACTAAATTGAGTGTAAGAAAAGATTCGGCGCAAACAGAATATACGTACAATGGTCACAAAAGGGAATCGTGCCAGTGCCAAATTTGGCACAAACGGCGTAGCTCCAGGGACGAATGCAGATGCCCGAGTAGGAACTGATCATGCAGTAACAAACAAGTTGTTTTTTATTCATAAAAATTTAAGGTAAATTAGAGTTATGGTTTTTCAATGACTGAAGTTTTAGTAAAAGTATAGTGTTCTATCCAAAATATGGTGCCTCTCATCTAGGTCTATATATGGTGTTCTATCCAAATATGGTTTCTATCCAAAATATAGGCTCAACCACTTCAGATACATACACAAGATTGACATATATTTTTTTGAGGTAAACAGGAGGGTGCAGGCCCCTACTGTGCTTTTATTAAAAACTGAAAGTTCTTACAACAATCTTCACGAGACAAAGAAAGTTACAAAGAAAATCAAAGCAATTATACATAAGCATCTAGCCATTGACTAATTCTAGGTAGATAAGCTTTCTTTGCTCGAAGGATAACTTGAGCAAAATCCATCTTGAAGTGCCTCTTTGCATTGGGGATTGAAGGCTGAATGTTTCTGAAAATAGCATCATTTCTGACTGACCATATGGCCCAACACATGGAGATAATGACTTCCATGGAGAAAGGGAGGTTTAGCTGAGTTCTGAAGGAGGTGATTGTTTGGAAGGGATCATTGGAATTTTGATTGACCAATCCCAAAGTTGCCCAGCAACTCACTGCAAATGGGCAGTCCAAGAAAAGATGCAGAAGGGTTTCCTCTGTTCCTAGGTTGCAGATAGCACAATTATAATCATCCAAAGCCATGTGTTTTCTCCTCAACAGATTTCTGGTGCTAATCCTGTCCTTCATTAGTAGCCAAAAGAAAACTTTCCTTTTATTTTGACTGCAGCTTTTCCATAGCCATGAATAAGCTGGATGAACTTCCCTGTTTCCAATTAGGTGTGCATAGGCTTTCTGAGATGAGAAAGTTGGAGAATTCCAGATGTATGACCACATATCATTGTCCTCCAGAAGATGCAGGCTGTCTAAAAGTGATGTGAACTCCTGAAACTGCTGAAATGCCTCAACTGAAAGGGGAAGATGAAAAAGATCATGGGTCACAGGGCTTTGACATGCATCTCTGACAGTTATAGATTTATTTTTAGCATAAGAATGTAACTCTGGGCATGCCTGTTCCAGTAATTGATCAGCCTATAAATTCTGCCAAAGAAAACAGGTAGCTCCATTTATAACTGAGACTCTAGCCATTCCTTTAAACCTGCTCAACAGCTTTACAATGTCTCTCCACCAAAAAGAACCTGATCTAGAAGTTCTAGGTAATTTGCCATTACTATAATACTTTTCCCAAAGCAAATGCACCCAAGGGATATCACTTTTGTTAAAAAAATTATGAAGATGCTTTAGGAGGAGCCCCTCATTTTGTATGGACAGATTAAGTACCCCAAACCTCCACTTTCCTTTGGAATGCAGACTAGTTTCTTCCAGACAGCTTTTGGAGGTGCTTTATTATTAATATCACAACACCTCCATAGACAATGTTTTCTAAACTTGTCTATTTGCTTGATCACTGTTCTTGGCAAAAGGAAAGTGCACATTGTGAAGGTAGGCAAAGCTGTAAACACTGCATTTGTCAATTCTAACCTTCCTGCTTGGCTTAGAAAATTAGGGATACTACTCAATCTTCTTTCACATCTTGAAACCAGTGGCTAATAATCAGCAACTGTTGGCCTAGTCAGACTGAGTGGCAAACCAAGGTAAGTGAATGGCAAAGAACCTTTAGAGCATCCAAAAGTGTTGGCTATGATTTCAAACCTTTCTGCAGAAATGTTAATTGGAACCATAAAGGACTTATTATAGATGACCTTCAAACCAGTGCTTTCAGCAAATGAATTGAGCATTGCTTTGAGGAAGAAAAGCTGTCTGGAATCTCCCTCCATGAAAATCAAAATGTCATCAGCATATTGGAGTATAGGAAAATCTTGATAATGAGCCAAATTAATGGGCAAAGAAAGAAGTCCTTGTTGCTTTGCAGAGTTCAATAGAGTCTGTAAAAAATCAGCAGCCAAAACAAAAGGCAAAGGAGATAAAGGATCCTCTTGCCTTACTCCTCTTTTACAGTGGAAAACTTTACCAAGTATCCCATTCAGAAGAACTGATGAAGTGCCAGAGATGAAAATCAAATTCATCCATTGAATCCACTTGCTTGGGAAACCCTTATTCTGCATAATCTCTATCATAAGCTGATGCTCCACTTTGTCAAATGCTTTTTCAAAATCTAACTTGAGGATAATAATCTCTTTTCTTGACTGGTGACAGAGATGAACATATTCAAGAGCCCACGACAAGCAATCTTGAATAGCCCTTGCTTTGATGAAACCATACTGATTTTTATGAATAAAAGATGGCAATAACAACTGCAGCCTATTGGCTAAGATCTTTGTTAAAATCTTGACTGAAATATTGAGCAGAGATATTGGTCTATAATCTGAAACCTTGAGAGCATTATCATGTTTTGGAACTAAAGTGATGTTGGAGCCATTGATGCTTCTCAAGCAGACATTGCCATCATGAAAAGAAGAGCACAAATTATAAAAGTCATGACAGATCAAAGGCCAACACTTTTTTACAAAATCAGTGTTAAAGCCATCAGGCCCTGGTGCTTTATCTGAGGGTAAAGATTTTACAACCTGATCTACTTCTTGATGAGTAAAGGGGGCAACAAGAGCAGAAAGATCAATATCAGTATGTAAAAGATTACCAAGGTTGAAAAGGACACCAGTGAAACCATTGACTCCCAATCTTTCCTTGAAAGGTTCCAAAATTAGAAGCTCCTTTTGCTGGTGATCAGTGATCAAAATACCTGAATCATTCTCCAAATGGGTAATTAGATTCTTTCTGTAACAAATTGTAGCATGTGCATGAAAAAAATTTGTGCTAGCATCTCCCAAAGTGACCCATTTAATTTGTCCCCTCAGATTCCAATAAGTTTTATGTTGCTTTAACAAGCTTTGAATTTTTTGCTGCAAAAGGTCTTTGAAATTCCATTCATAGATAGTAAGATCCCTGAATTCCTCAATCAGGGTTAAGAAGAAAAGGACAAGCTTGACCTTAGAAATGGAAGCTTTTAAATTGGATAAAGAATGCTTCCAAATCTTAAGAGCCCTTCTTAGATTCTTGAACTTAGCAGTTAGAATCAAAGCAGCATCAGTCAAATGAACTGGAGCAACCCAATTCTGCTGGACAACCTGGAAAAAATTCTCATGTTGCAACCAATAATTTTCAAACCGAAAAATTGATTTTCTAGGAATTTTGTTGGAAACTGAAATGACACAATGAACATTATCAGAAGTTTCCATTGAGAGTGGAGAGGCATAAGAGTTAGGATAGGAAATGGTCCAAGATACTGAGGTGAAAATCAATCCAAACGTTCAAGAAGTGGTGATAATTGCTTATTAGTCCAAGTAAAACGCCTACCCTTGAGGGGCAGCTCCATTAACCCTAAATAGCTGATAGCCTCATTAAACATGTACATATCCATATGATTACCTCCAGGTTGATTTCTATCTGCTAGACTCCTACAGAGATTGAAGTCACCCAAAATGAGCCCGTCAACATGATCAGGCATTTGGATATTTTTAAACCAATCCAAAACATCTCTTTTTCCTTCTTGGGTACAGGGAGCATAGACATTTGTTAGTACCCACATAACACCATTATGTAAAGATGAAAACTAAATAGAAAGAGCATAATCATTTGGGAACACAAGTTGGCCCTGAAAAACAGAAGATTTCCAAACAACAATAATACCACCAGAGGCTCCAACTGAGGGTAGGAACTCAAACTTATCAAAAGAGGGTGGACACAAATTTCTGAGAAACATAGCATCAAAATGCTCCTTCTTTGTTTCTTGAAGGCATATTATATCAGAGTAGCTTTCATTGACCCTATCTCTAATTGCATTCCATTTCTTGTCATAGTAATCAAAAGGGAGGCTATGAACAAAGCATTAGCCTATTGTGGAGCTGTGCCCTTACGAGAGGTGGGGCCACTACCCTTGCTAGAAAAAGGGCCACTTCCCTTACTGGAACAAGGGCCACTAGCTTTCCTCTTGATGGTCTTCTTAGTAGCTTTTCCTTTAGGCTGCTTGCTCAGCTTCACTTCAGTGAGGTCATCAGGATTAATATCACAGAAGGAGGTTCCCAGATCTTTGATGATGGAGGGAGAAATGGCTGGTGGAGTAGAAGAGCAAACTACACAGTTCTTGTCTTTACAGGCAGATGACTTGAAGCCCTTATGAACTTTCTTGAGCCTCACACTCCTTCTAAGATCAGCTTCAGAAAGAATGGGCTGCTTTTGTTTACTGAGCTTCTGTTTCTTTGCAGGTGTAGCAGGTGTGGGAGCAGCAACTTGTTCATAGTCCAAATCATCCAGATCCTCTAAGATGACAGAAGAAGAAGGTTGAAAAAAGAGGACATGTATGTAAATTTACAGAGGGACAAGAGGATGGCAGATAAAAGATACTAGAATTACCCTGCTGATTATTGGAAAAGAAATCCCAGGCATCTGACTGAAGGAATTCTTTGGCACAGCTGAAAGTTGGGCTCTGCAGGAGGAGAAAAATAAAGAAGGACATCCAATGATCAGGGATAATAATGGGAGAAGAAGAATTGGAATTAAAGGAGAAAAATTTTACCCAGAGTCTGAAGGCTTCAGAAGAAGGCTTTGGAAGAGGAGCTGACTGAAATCTTTCATAAAAGTGAGGATCCACATAAATGTCAGGCATCTGGACCAAACCCACATGTAGCTGTTCAAAATTTTCTTGCTCATTGAGGGGAGCATTCACAAAACCAAGCAGATCCTCAAATGGTATCTCATCTGGAATGAGAGGTTGGAGATTGTTGAAATCTGGGAGTGGCACTATCTGAACTTCTTCAATAGGGAACAAAGGCTCCTGAATTTGCTACTGTTCACCATCAGAAGCATCAGTGTCATCATCCATAGCTAGAACTCCAGAGTTTGATAACTCAAATTCTTCCTGAACAGGTTGAATGTGATCCTCAGGGTTGGCTGGATCATTGATCACCTCTTCAGGTTCCTGCTCCTCTTGAAATGCAGGTAATTGGTGATCAACTTGAGCAACATTTTCATTGACCTCAGCATTGAGTTGATTGGGCCAAATAGCATTTTCAGCAGCAGCAACTTGATTGGGCCACATATCCCAACCGAGAGCCTCCTGGTCTTGCTGGTTGGGTTCTAGAGCAGCAAAAGGGTTAAAAGGCTGAGGTGGTGGTGGGGGCACTGGAGGCCCATGACCTGGCTGTCCATATCCAAAATAAGAGAAGTGGCCTGGTTGGACGTCATCATCATCAGGCCCAGGCTGAAAGTCTTCATCTTGGGGCAGCCCACCAATGAGTGTAGCTTGAAAGATCTCACACTGAACAGTCCAACCATCAGAAGTTGGGTCCAATCCCTCTGTGAATGTGAAGAACCAAGGTATGGAGTCAAGGCCACTGACTATCTCTGACCAAAACTCTAGCCATATTGTTGAAATCCTCTTCCCAAGCAATGTGCTTACAAAATTCAGAGACAACTTTGTCCACCAAAGCATGAGACCAGAGATCAACATTGAGCCCAATCAAAGACATCCACACTTCATGGGTCATGACTGCTGTCCTGTTATTCCAAGCTCTATCATGGGGAATAAAAGAAATTGTTCCATTACCATAGGGGAGAGGACTGTTGTGAATCAGCGGGTCTCTCTGATGCAGATATGTGAAACGAACAAATGCTTGGCCAAAAGGGCATGGCTGAATGGTTTCATGAGCAATACCATTCTGATTCGGAAAATCAACCAAGGATGCACTGATTGTGTTGAAATCAAGTTGGTGCTGAGGCAAAGGGTTGAAAGTTGCAATCGCCAGGTCATTGTTCTAATTATGAACTCTGCCAGTCACAACCCTCTTCATCAAAGGCCTACCAGGCACCATGACACGCTGAGCTCCATGAGGAATGAAGGGTTGAGGATCAACAAACCGAAATGCCATAGCATCCTGTGAAATGGAAGGCGACAGAGGAACAGTAAATGGGGTTCTCAGAACCCAAGCAACATGAACAACGGGAGGAGGTGAAGTAATGCCAAGAGAAGCACGGGCATACTCACCAAATGATGCAAAAACGTGGCGCTGAGGTTGCAGAACAGAGTTTTGCGACGGCGACGGAGGATCGTCGCCGTCGGCGTCAAAATCCGGCGCCGTGATTTTCCAGGTGCAGCTCCATTTCTAGGGGACGACGAGAAGCGGAGGGGGTGAGAGGCCAAGGGAGTGTATAGAATAGTCTGAGAAAGAGGAGTAGTAGACGCCATTGTAGCCGATAACAGGCCCACGAGACAGAGGCACATTATGAGGCGGCTCACCGGAAAGCTTAGCGGCATCACCGGCGGGTGTACGACGAGGATGCGATGATCGAGGCACAAAACTGTAGCTTGGGGGATGATGGCCATTGCTGCGGGTAAACTGAACCAGATTGGCCCCAGAGGAGGATTGGGTGCAGAATTCCGCTTAAGCACTTGAGACCATTCTGCAGCTTGTTCATCAAGCCAGAGTTTGTATTCCAAAGCGTAATTTGGACCCCCCCCCAATTCCAGAGATGAAAGAAAATTTTGAAGTTCACACATTCATAAGAACGCAACCGATAAATATGAAAACCACAGACGAAATTTGCAGCGTCCAAAGGAAACGACAAGGAAGAACTCCCGAGACGAACGGGAGGGATCGAAACTGACCAGAGAGTTGTAGCGACGAAGAATCTCGGCTTCCACCACTGTCCCAGGGCGACCATCAAGCCCCGGAAGATCTATGGAGACGTAGATCACCAGGAGAAGCCATGGTCACCGGCGTGGGGGGAGGCGGAGGGTGGACGGGGAGGAGAACGGAGAGGTGGTGGAGAGCGGCAAGTTTTCGTCGTCTCGTTCCTTTCTGTCCAGCGATTGTTTAGACCAAGAATGACATATATCATCTGGTGTGTCTTCAGTCCTGTTGAATGGAGTCCTTGGTAAGGAGTTTCACTGCAAAAGAGGGGTAAGGCAGTGGAATCCACTTTCACCGCTTCTATTTGTACTAGCTGCAGACCTTCTACAGAGCATTGTAAATAAAGCTTATAAAGACGGTCTCCAACGAGAAGACGTAAACCCAAAATGCGTTACGTATAGTTGCTTTACCTGCCGAAAGCAGCCTCCAACGGCTGATTCAGACGGACGACGTATTTTGCCTACTGATAGAAGTGATACGCAAAAAAGCATGCCCTCTCTGCTCGGTACGCAAATCTCCGATGGTGGCCCGTCCGCGCACACCTCCGCAACGCCGAGGTGGCCCGCTCCCGAACCGGCCGGACCGCCGGCCCCGCTCGTCCGTGCTCACTCGTGTCGGCACCGCTCGCCAACGGCGTCCGCGCCGCCGCGCCCGCGCCGACCCCGCTCGCCCGCGCTCGGGCGCCGCATGCGCTCGTCTGGCGTCCGCGCCGGGGATCCGCATGACCTCCCGCGCGGCGTCGGCAGACGAGGCCACCACGACGCGAAGCTCGCCGAGGCCACCACGACTGAACCTGCTATTGCTCTTCCATCTCCATTGCCCCTGCTGCTCGTCCTCGTGGCGCACGCAGGGCGCTGGTGACGCAGCCGTAGTGCCGCCGCAGGTGCCTCGTGATGCAGCCGCCGTGTGCCAGCCCAGACAAGCACGGACCAAGCTCTGCATCTCCTTCGGCAGCTAACGTGCACGGGACCAAGCAGGAGCGCGCGAGGACAAAGCACCGGTGCCGTGGGGCCGCGCCGGTGCGACCAAGATGGCCGGACGCGGGCGGCCGCAGCTACGGGACCACGTCGCGCCCCAGCGGCGTTGCTGTGGCGCCGCTGCAGGAGCGTGCGAGTGTGAAGGCACCACTGTTGCGGGGCCGCGCGACCGCGGCCGAGACAGGCGGAGGCGGACCGGTGCTACTGAGGGGCCGCGCGCGGCCCGGCGACGTTGCCGAGGTACGGCTTAGCGGCACCTTGCGGGGCCGCGCCGCGTGGCCAACGGAGGGCGCAGGTGCGGCGTTCCGGCTGTGGCGGCGTCGCAGCCGGTGGAGGCCGCCGAATGGTGGAGGCCGAGGATTGGGATGGGGGCGAGCAGAGGAATCAAGAGGAGGAGGAGGAGGTAGTAGCTGTAGTGAAGTGGGAGCTCGGATATTTTCATGGATGCAGGGATTTGGGGCTCCTCTGTTGGAGAGACGAAGCTACGGGGATGTAAACTTTTTTTACTGTATACCACCCAAACCGTGAAACAAGGGCTCTTTAGGCTTCCAATCCCTGGCAGAGACCTCAAAAATTTTCCCATCATTCAATACTAGTACATCATACGCGCCATCGCGCGCGCCGAGCAATTAAACGGGAAATCAAATGGTATATGTAAGCATAGCAAGTACCGGTAAACGCAACGCAGTGGTACAAATTGTACTTATATTACATGGATGGATGTCATGAAGCCGGCAATCTTTCGAGTTAGAATGTTAGGGTAGTGTTACTGACATACTACAACAGCTCACGCCATATGTCCAGCGACAGGTTATAGCCTGGCATAGAGTCTGGTATAGTGCAGTTAGCAGCAGGTAGGATTCGTAGTTTTATAACATTAGATAGTGGGATCCTAGACTATACAAGAATGCTGACGACAAGGTTCAAAAGCGCCCAGATTGCATGCCGGTATAGTAACTTAGGCAGCCAAGTTTTGAACCGGCGTTGTAATTACCACTGTACATTGTGTTGAAGATGAGCTTGGTTGTAGGCGTTGTGACGGCCATGTACAAGGCGATGTACCAAGGGGTTTGACAAGCTGTACAAAATATTAGATAGGTTGAGGTGATAATAGCAGTGTTGAAGAATGTGATTTTTAAAAACTATGGCAGCATGTATCTAAAAACCTGTATCATTTTTTCTGATTGCCTGATGATGATTTGCGTCCACCAGACTTGGCATGTAGTTTAGTATCCTGAGCGCTTAGCCTGCAAGCAGAGCATATTTATTATTCTTGAGAAGTTGCACAGAAGGATTATATGCTCATGTTGTAACCTATCACTTTAAACAGTTTTGCAAAAAACGTGAATCTCCGATTTATAGTTAGTGTTTAATACCTTTTTGCTGGGTTGTCTAGGTGGTCCTCTGGATGCTGTTCCTGTGTATCCTTATCATGTCCGGTGATCTGGACGTCTATGTTGAGTTTCTGAGAGGTCTCATGATCAGGTTCAGTGAAGGTTGTTTGATCCTATAGGAAAAGTACGTGATTGATAGAGGTAGCTGAGCATAGTTAACAGGAAGTCTGTATTCACATTTGTTATGTGTGGGAATGCAGGTCTAGCATCAGTATATGCGGTGTACAGTTTAGGGGGGGAAGATATGTTTTGTGGATACAAAGAGGACAAACCTCCTTATGAGTAGATTGGTCCTCAAACAGCTTCGTCTTTGTAGGTTTCTTTTCAACATGGGTCGATGATTTTGCCGGGCTGGGAAATATAGCATGAGAAATTACGAAACGGCAAGTAATGTTTGATTAATTAATCAGTGGTAAGTGTGAGCTGTAGTACTTTAAATATAGCAGGCATGTATAATATTCAAAGGCAGTAGTGCACAGCAGACCAATATAGAACAGTGGGGCAGTGATATAAGATCATCCGAAGCGATACTAACTGTGATGATGAAATAAACACAATTACACAATACTACTACTTTCATGTCACCAGAAGAAAAGGACGGTTGTATGTACAAGGATTTAAATTTATCAATGTGCATCAACCTGATGGTTTCATGTCATGTTATCGATGATTCGCACGACGATCTTACACTACCAAGGTCAGTAGCTTTCTAATGTCCTAGCAGTAAGAAAAAACTGTAGTAATCTAATTTTTAGCGACTTACTGAGTGTAATAGGAAGATAGCAAGAACAATTTGTTTTCATATATTCTGAGTGCGCTAATTTTGACAGCATAGCGTAAAATAGGTAACTCATGGGGAAAAAACAGCACACAGTTAGATATTTCTGACAATGAAAGTGGTAAAGTAATTAGTAATTGAGTTAGGAAATGGCAAGTCATGACCATTGTGACAGTAAGGCTGACACAAGAAAGAAGTCCAGATGTCTTGGTTGAATTTCACAAAACTTTTAAAGGTATGAACACTAATTCCCAGAGATACCATATGGCAAGCATCGTTCAGAAGGTCAGATCAAACCATCTCGCGGACTATATAAACCATCTATCATTCAAGCTATCTTGTGCAGCCATTGTTAAACAGTGGGTAAGTTTACAAACGGATCTAAAAGTGCAACAAAGTAGGAAAGGAGATACTTACATTCTAAACAGTAGCCATTGTTAAACAGCCATCGCGCGCGCCGGCAAGGTAGGAAAGGAGATACTTACATTCTAAAGACCACACAGGTCTTACAGAGAAATGTTAAATTTGGCAGTGCCTAATCCTGTTGGGAAAACTACAGCACTTCATAAATTTCGTGCAGCGATATTAATTCTCGTATAAATTTTACTCACATATATGCATGTCATAGGAACTTTAATGATTTCAGCATATATATATTAGTGTTAGCCACCTTGTGAGCTGATAATAGATAAAAAAAAATTGAAGCTCCACAGCTTGATAACCTAATGGTAATTGACTCAGCGAGCAAATTGCAAGCCAAAGCTATGATATTCACAAAATATATCACGGCATTGCGCTGTAACTTGTACATGGCCGTCAAAAGCCTTACCGAGTCGGTTCACTGTAAGGGTCACATCACGCCAAAGCTAATGATATTCACAAAATGCTAAAATTGAAGAATGAAGATGGGCATAAGCCTTACCGAGTCATGAACACAAAAAATAAGCTAAAAACTGACCCCTGAGTCATCTAAGGTTGTGAGTGCATAAACATATGTAGATTATAGTATAGGCTATTAGCGCATTAGAAACTGGAGAGATTCATCAACACACAATAGGCACAATGTAAAAGAAATACATATAGGGCATGATCTTTGTTGATTTTCATTAAAGTTTGTTAGTCCAAGCACAGTGGGGTGAGCAAGATGATTTAGCCAAGAAGGAAGTGGTTCTCGAATCTCATCAGGAGGAAACAATACAAAGGGCACCAATAAGTACATGCATTTGTAACAACACATCCACAATCGAACCATTATTCAGTAAAAAAACAATCAAACCATTGAAAAAGAATAGAGATTAGAGAAGAACACACCTGACATAATCAACGGATCCACCATATTGGCATCAGCTGCAGTGCGTATCCAGGAACCCAAAACAAAATAAGGCCGAGTGGATATATACCCAGTCTGTTGTAGGCAAAGAACAGAGACCGGTGAGTAAGATGGCAAACATAGGTTGGGCAAGCATAGATGGATGAATTTTACTGATCATAGAGAAAGCATCCTACTAATTATAGGAAGAATATTTGATTGACCATAGAAAAGC